GACTGGGGCGACTGTGGGAAACAGCTGTGCACATGTGTAGGGGTCTGGGGCTAGAGCAGTTGGGAGCCCTGGAGGTCTGAGGGACACTTCACTTGCTGGCCCAGTTCTGGGGCAATCTCCTGGGTTGATGCTATGAGTCTAATATTGATTATTTTACAAAGGTCAGTGATGGAAGCAGTTGGAGACCTCACCTCCTTCCACTGCTGCAGGAATAGCACCCCCCCCCCACACACATCCTGGGGTCCCCCCATCCTGGCTCTAGGTGAGCCTGTTCACTGTGGTTCAAATCAGTGTCTGTGCTTGGGATGGGGGCTGTCACAGCCCTCTGATACTTGCTCCCAGGGGCCACAGGTACCTGGCCCTGTCAGGAAGCCTGCCCTTGTGTGCCCCTTTCCCTGCTTTGGTGTGTGGCCATGGTTGGAGGCATGCAGGACTTGGCTGGACAGACCTGAGGCAGAGGATGTTTGTGTGTGTATGTATGTGTGCGTGTGTGTGTGTGCGTGCGCGTGTGTGTGTTTTATGGCATCAGTCACCAGGAAGTGAAAGGCTATGGGCAGGTCTGTGGTTACTGCTTGGCTAGCTAGCAGCGTGAGTTGGAAAAGTACAAGCACTGATGTATTAGCAGCTGATGAAAGAGGATTTCAGGGAGCTGCTGAAGTGAAGGCTTCTGAGCCTGGAAGAGAAGGTCTCTGTGAAGCTGGGAGGCCTCCTGGGGGCAAGGACAGGGATTTACTTCTTCCCCCTCTCTCCCTCCCTCCCCATCTCCTGGTTCAGTGATATGAAGGCCAGCAGGGCCTCAGATCCAGCCGGCTGCAATGCCCCACCCCTGCTCCAGCTACTTCTCCTGGTGACTCCCCTCCAGCGTGGATGTGAGACCTTCCCACTGAGGTCCATGCAGGGGTTCAGGCGCCTCCAGCCCAGTGATTCTGCTCCTGTGGGGAGACACCTGTCCTGGCTGCTGAGACTTCCTACCGAGCAGTGCTCCTGGCTTTGAGGGGAATGGGGTTCTCCCTATCAACTCCTAGCTAGGCAGGGACTATAGGGTCTTGTGCCCCTAAAATGCCCCAGCTGGTTCAGGGAGCCACAGGCCATGGCCCAGGTGCCTTCCTAGGGATTATTAGATGGAAGTGGCTCCTTCAGCCTTTCACCATAGGCTGTCTCTGTGGAATTCTGTGCTGGGGCTATTGGTAACTCTACCTCCCTGGACCCAGTGATGCTCCCCTGCTCTTCTTCCCTGCTGTAGCATGGCCGTGGGTCTTAGGGCCAATGCATTTGGGAGCCTCTGTTCCACAGAACATGCACCTCCCCTGGAAAGTCTGGCGCATACTCTGCTGCATGACAGAGGATCCTGCATGGGCTGTGTGGTCTGGGGAAGCCTCACTCTCTGTCTACCAGAGCCTTCTCTTTCACACAAGGCTTCATCCTCTGCACAAGTTCAAAAGGTGCCCACGGCTGAAAGGGGCTTAGGGATAATGATTGACCATTGTATGAATATAAGTTGTCAGTGCGAGGCGGTGGTCAGCAGGGTAAACAACACGCTGGCATGCATCAACCGATGCATCTCATGTAAATCTAAAGAAGTGATACTCCTGCTGTACTCAGCACTGGTGAGACTGCAGTTGGAGTACTGCGTCCAGTTCTGGGTGCTGCACTTCAATAAGGATGTGGAAAAACTTGAGAAGGTCCAGAAAAGAGCCAACTGTATGATCAGGGACTTGTGAGGCAAGCCATACCAGGAAAGGCTGAGGGACCTGGGCCTCTTTAGCTTAAAGAAGAGAAGGTTGAGAGGGGACTTGATAGGAACTTATTGCTATATCAGAGGAGTTCATTGGGAGCTCGGTGAACAACTGCTCACTAGCTCACCCCCGGGCAAGACCAAGACCAATGGGTACAAACTCCTGGAAGGCTGCTTCAGGCTTAATACTAGCAAACACTCCTTCACAGTCAGGGTGTCCAGACTGGAATAAACTCCCTCCAGAGGTGGTACAGTCATCTACCCTGGAGGTTTTCAAGAGGAGACCCTCGCTGGGGTCACCTAACCCCAGTTGTCTTCCTGCCTACAGCGGGGGGGCGGGACCCGATGATCTGCAAGGTCCCTTCCAGCCCCTAACAATCTATGAATCTATGAAAAGGAGTTTGTATTTTTTTCTGCTCTTTGGTAACAATCTTGCTTGGTCTTATGCTAAGAACAACCCCTGAGGGAATGCCCACTCCTCCTAAAAACAGTTCCCAACTGTAATGACTTTCTGTGATCTATCATGTCATCATGTTTTAATTTGTTTCCAGTGAGCTCTGGTAGCTGTGTGCAGTGCTAGTTTTTTATCAGAGCCGAGTATGGTATCAGCTCTTACAGAAACCTGAGTACAAGAATTCAGCACAATTTCCTTTTACCCACCAGTTCTATCATCTCATCCAAAAATGATCCCAAGTCTATCGACAAGAATTGTTTGCCATTAGGCCATGTTGCCTGGCAGTAACCCTTGTGTTCCATACTGGCACATCAAGGGACTGATATCATGCTATCCAGTCCACATGTAAACCCTTCTGCCAGGCACCAGATGGCAGTAACAAGGGCTAAGTTTAATTTAGAGGTTTTACACAAATTGATTTTCTTGTCTTGAGCCTTTACCCAAAAACCCGGGGAAATACTTTCTGCCTGGGTGTTCCAATGTGAACAAAACTTCTGCATTCACAAGCAATATTGAACTATAACAGGGTTTATTGATGGGTGAAGGAAAAATGAGATGACAAACAGATTCAGGAAGCCCTTGATAATCAGTAGCCCACTTCAACCCACTAATTAACAATTTAGCATAGTCAATATGTTCAGTGGAGTGAAGAGGAGTGGGGCACTGGGATTTCACCACTAGCTCCCCGCAGTGGGGCATATCTGGGGTAAATAGAAGTCAATCTGGTGTGCAACCCCTTCTCCTGTAGCCAGCTGGTCGCTTGTCCACCATGGTCATCTCTCCTTGTTACAAGCTGTAGCCACAATGAATGACATGAGCAACATGACCCCAGCACCCAGACACAGGCGGATGGTGTTCCCCTGGGTGAAATTCTGGTGTCCAAGTTTGGGGGCAGCAGAGGTGACTAAAATGAGGGAGAGACGTGTCAGTGAGCACTTACATCGCAGAGGGTGGTGCAAGAGGTGGATGGAACGCTACCCACAGGCAAGGAGCTGAGACCAGTATCTGGCTTTGGCCCTACTGTACTTGGGCTGACTCTGGTTGACCACAAAGGTTGCCTCCTCCCTTGGGCCACACTCCCTTGGGAAATAAGATCTGGCCCAGTGCCATGATTTACAGGGTCACTTACATGATTGTGAGCTGGAGCTGGGTTCCTTGGGGGGACTGGGGCTGTGTGTTTGGACCAGTGGTGGGATGGATTCTTGGCCTCGGTGTGGCCCAGTGGGCCTGGGACCTGACCTAGCTTCTGTAGGAAGACAAGGCATAAACATGACACTTAACCATGCTGGGCCAGCCACCCAGGTGGTACAGATCCAGCTGGTACTGGGGTGCTGCTAGGAGCTGGAGCTCCTGGTTTTTGAGACTGGGTCTGGCACAATGCCATGGTTTCCAGGGTCGCTTACGTGTCTGTGGGCTGGAGCTGGTTTCTTTGGTGGGATTGAGCGGTGGGATGAGTTCTTGGGCTTGGTGTGGCCCAGTGGGCCTGAGGTCTGGTTTGGCTTCTGTAGGAAGACAAGGCATAAACATGGCACCTGAACAGTGCTAAACCAGCCACCCAGGCAGTACAGCTCCAGCTGGTACTAGGGTGGTGACAGGAGCTGAGCATCACCATGCTCTTTGGTACAAAGGATCCCTGGATAACCCCAATGTGCCTTATGATAAAGGTGGCCATATCTCAGAATCTGGTGAGAACTCCCAGTTCTGATGCATCCCCACCCTCAGTGTTGTTCTGTGTGGAGGGTGCTTACCTCCCACTTGCAGGTGGATGGGCTGGCTGGGCTCTGACCACCGGGGATGCTGGTTTATGCTCAGGTACCTGCATGTGTATGTGCTGGTGCCCCTGTGTCCTGTGCTGGCAATGATGAAGGTGGCCCCGGAACCCTGTGCCTCAGTGTGCTGCACTGGGATGGCGACCCCATCTCTGTAGAGGAACAACCGGCTGCAGCGCACTTGGCAGTGACAATGAATGGTGACTCTGCTTCTGGGGGGCACCACTGCTCCTGCTGGGGCCACTGAGATGGAGGCCCTGTCTGGAGTCAGGAGAGTAATCATTTACAGACAACCTACACACAGCTAACCCCAGTTCTGGGGGTATGGCTCTCCCTTCTGCTCCCCTCCCCCTGGGTTGGGATCATACCTCTGCCACCCCCAACATGCAGGAAATCCTTTCCCTTGGACCTCCAATGCACTGCAGAGAGCTTCTAGCTGTTGCATGGATTTCCAAGTGGGGAGGGAGCAAGTATCCATTGTCCTTCAAGCCCCCACCCACCATCCAGGGCTGCTTCCCTATTGTCACTCACGTGCTGCAGTGGCCATGGGGGAGTGGGTCCTCAGGGCACCTGTAATGAGGTTGTTTCAAGCCTTTTGGGGAAGATGGCTTCCCAGGTTCCAAGAATGTTATGCGACTGGCAGGGGCAGCAGGGCAGCAGACATGGCTACACTGGCCCTCTGACATTGCTGGGGGCCCTGGGAGAGAGGAGGAAGCCCCATGATGAAGTCCAAGGCACAGGCTTGGGGAAGGACAGGAGCCCCCCAGGTTTACAGAGTGAAGAGGTCTGGAATGAGAACCTGGGTGGGGCAGGGAGATTCCCACAGGCAGAACTGGAGCTGGTCTGTGTGTGTGTGCGGTGGGGAGGGTAGTTTACATTTATGGGCTGTAGGGATAAGTGTTGTGTTGGCAGGGGAGGGCTGGGTCTGGGGAACAGTGTGGAAGGGGGTGGGTTGTGAATAGTAGGGAGAGGGGAGGGCATGGAAAATAACGGACAAAAGTAGTGTACTCACAGGTAATAAGAATGAAGACCAGAATGTAACTCATGGCGATGGAGCCCACAACAGTGCCTGGACACTTGATGTTGCAGCCAGAGCTGGGCAGGAAATGAGGCTCACGAACAGGAAAACAAGAAACACATATAGCCTAATGCTGAGAAGCTCTGCCCACAAACAGACCTACTGAGACCAGGGTTCCTTCACAGTGGACTCTGCTGAAACAGAAACAGATTCACTACGACTAGGGGCACTTGTAGGTGACATGTCGTTTGATCCTTGTTTATTTCCCGCGCCTGAAAAATTTTAACCCGGGTTATTGCGGTGCAGCGCGTTTGTGTTTGTATGACACTCTTTTGAGCACGTTAAGTCTCGTGTGTCATTCCCCGCAGATTCTAGCAGGGGTAGCCAAATACCAATCTACCCCCCAGTACTATTCTTCCTGATGAATTACAGCAGGAGGTGCGTGTAAACCAGCCTCCACTGCCCCTGCCCCCTGCCCCCTGCCCTGCCAGGAATCTCTTGCTAATCCCACCCCTGAGCACAGCCTCCTCACCCCAAAACCCTGTCACTTGGGGCAGAGGTGCCCATGGTCAGGGCTGGCCCACAATTTTTGGGGGCCTCTGAAAGATATAGCTTTGAGGCCCTCTGACGCAAAGAAACTGGCGGCGGTAGCAGTAGCAGCAGGGGTTGAGGAGGGGGCAGGGGGGTAGCAAGTGGCCAAAGAAGCCAGTGGCAGTGTGGGCGAGGGGGATAGGAAGTGACTGGAGAAGCCGGCAGCGGTGGGGGCGGCGGGGTGGTGGTGGTGAGTTTTCTAAGTGTACAGGGCTGAGAATTGTGGGTGGGTGGGTGTTTGTGGGTGTTGCTGCCCTGGTTGGGTGATATTGCAACTGATGGTGGAAGATGAGCTTTTCTGGTCTTGCATGATATTTCCCAGCATTCCCAAGCTGCCAGGGCTTGGAACAGTTTCCAAGGGTACACATCAATGATGCTGCAAACGTGTTTTGGAGGTATGCTGTGAAATTGTTTTTTGAAATGGTGAGTTGTTGTTGGGCTTGGGGTATAATATGCCCCCCACCCCACTTCAGGCTGTTCAATCGCCCCCCATCCACACCCCCTTCCTGCTGCCCAGCGCACCCCCCCGCTCCCGACAAGGACAGGTATACTTAACTTTTCCATCCACAGGACAGTAGGTGCCGGTGTGTAATGAGCACCCCCCGCCAACCCCCCCCAACAATGCCAGCCTCCAAAGAAGCAACCCCCTGCTCCAGTCCACCTAGCCCTCACTCCTCTCTACTCCCTGTCCACTACACCATACACCCCTGAAGAAAGACACAGATGTTTAGTTGAAATTGCAGAACAATTTATTGTACTGAAAAGAAAGACCACTGCTAGTTGCTGTCAGCTATATGTGCTGCCAGGGAGTCTTGCACAAGTGCCGCTTGACCAGCTTCTCGTCCCTGCTGGCCCCCTGGCAGAAGATAGACACGGTGAACACCTTCCTCATCCCCTGCGTTGCATTCATCTTGAGAGGCTCGGCGGTCCCCAAGACCCCCCTCAAGAAGGCGGACGCCGAGATCCGGTGGCTATTTAAGAGGTGGCTGCACCTGGTGCTAAGGGCCAGCAACAAGGTCCTGCACATTCCCTACCGGCAGGGAGGTGCCAGCGTACCCTGCATGGGAGACCTCTGCGACATCGCGGTGGTCACCCACGCCTTCTGCCTCCTGACCTGCCCGGATGCAATGGTACGTACCATTGCCGCCAGCGCTCTTGAGGAGACTGCCCGCAAGAGGATCAGGAGGCAGCCGACCGGAAGTGACTTGGCCACCTTCCTCAGCGGCTTGCTGGAGGGCGAGTTCAGCAGAGATGGCGGGGAGTGTGCCTCGTTGTGGAGCCGAGCCCGCAATGCCATGCACCACCTCAGGAAATGCATCAGCTGCGCCTGGACCTGGACCGAGGAGCGCCGGGAGCTGAGAGTCTCCTTGCAACCAGCCCCGCACGCCGACCCTGTGACAGTGAGGCCCCGCATGAGGACCTTCGTGGAGAGGTTCCTGAAGGACGCCGTCCAAAACAAGTACGCTGGCGACCTGAGGGCCAAACCCGACCAGGGCAAGGTCTTCAACGTGACCTCAAAGTGGGACTCCAGCAACTACTTCATGCTCAGCGGGAGCTTCACGCACTTCGCGGACTGGCGCTTCCTCCACCGCGCCCGCCTCAACTGCCTGCCTCTGAACGGGGCCGTTCGCTTTGGCCACTGGGACAAGAGGTGCTGACAGTGCGGCTATGCGGCAGAGACCCTCCCCCATGTGCTGTACAGCTGCAAGCCACACGCCAGGGCCTGGCAGCTCCACCACAACGCTGTCCAGGACCACCTGGTGAGGGCCATCCCAGCTGCAGCGGGGGAGGTCTCCGTGAACCGCACCATCCCGGGCTGCGAGAGCCAGATGCGTCCTGACATCGTCATCACCAACGAGGAGGCCAAGAAGGTCGTGATCATGGACGTTACCATCCCCTTTGAGAACCGGCGCCAAGCCTTCACCGACGCCCAGGCTCACAAGCAGGAGAAGTACGCCCCACTGACCGACATCCTGAGGGGCCACGGCAACAACGTGACGGTCAACACACTCATTGTGGGACCCCAGCAACGAGAGTGTCCTGTGTGCCCGTCGCGTCTCCCGCCGCTATGCCAAGCTGATGCGCTGCCTCATGGTGTCCGACACCATCTGTTGGTCCCGTGACATCTACATGGAACACATCGTGGGCCACCGCCAGTACACGGACCCCACCAGACAAATTGCTGCCGGACCGGACCCAGAGGGGACCGCCTGAACCCCCACTCTGCACCAGATGGACTTCACTTTGAGAGGATTCTTCACCAGCGGATGACCCTGCTCCACCCGAAGAGGACCACCGCGATGAGACTCTATATGGACTGAGACACTTTTTTCTTCGAACCACTTCTTCCACCATTGCGGACCATTGTAACGGGTTTGTGTGTGTCTATCCTCTTTTTCTCTCAGCATCATGAACCCCCTCCCTCCCCTTAGTTGGCTAACATTGTATCTCCTGTAACCTAGTTGTGTTCCCCTCCTCACCCCCATCCCTCTAATGTTAGTCCCTCGCTCGGGTGCTATGTGTTGGGACCGAGGGCGGTCTAAGGCTATGGTCAGTAGCCCGGACCGTCAGGTGGGGTTTTTCCATGATGGAGTAGAGTTAGGCACAGAAGCATATTGGTTTTACAAAGAAAGCTTTACTTACACTGCTGATGGTCACAGTGCAGGAAGGAAACTTGCTTGAGTTGCAGTTGCACACAAACAAACACAAATGAGATCTCTTCCGAACCGAACCGAACCGAACTGAGATGAGTCGTCGATGTACGACTCCACGAGCGCTTTACATGGGGGTACATCAAATTTTCCACTATGACGGGGAGTGGCTAAAAGCTGATCAGGCCTTTATGTCCTCCTCCAAGACACACGCGGAGTTTGCTAGGCTCCACAGTGCACTTCGAGTTCCCCACGAGATGGTTGTGGAGTCCTCCAACTTGGGCGGAAACTGCTCTAACCTTTTATACGGCTAGCAAACCAATCGCTAGCCGCCAGGTAGGAATAATTTAGAATTGACCAATAGTGGGACACAAATTTGCATACGTGTGGCGGGAACTTTTTTGCACTGGGGTTTTCTCTCTGCAGCTGAGAAATCCACCGTGCAAAGAAAGCTCCATGTGGCGGGAAAATTCCAATGTGCCGAGGCACTAAAAATCATTGGGTTATGACACTATGTATTTCCCTACCGGCTTTGTCAGCTTTTTTGGATTCACAATCCTAAACATTTACTAATAAAAGTCAATCTCCTTGGTCCCTGCACTGCCTGGCCACATCTGTCAGGCCACTGCCTGTCCCTCTTCTTCAGCCCACGAGTCCCTGAAAACCTCTCTGTGGGTCTCACAGATGTTGTGGAGGATGCAGGCTGCCACTACGAAGGCCGTTATATTTTCTGGCTCCTGGTCAAGCCGGAATGTAAGCACCCTCCCATGTCCTTTCAGTCAGCCAAAGTCGCATTCAATGGCCATCCTGCAGCTGCTCAGATGGTAGTTGAAAAGCAGCTTCTGCGGGTCCATAACGTTCCCTCCATAAGGCTTCATGAGCCAGGCTTTACTGGGGGAGGGAGAGTGAAAAGCTTCCACTCTGCCAAGTCACAATCAGTTCGGAGAAGAGAAGCATTCTAACGTTCCCATGAAGTATGAGTGGTGTCTCCCCCTCCTCGACAAGCCATGCATACACACTTGCATTGTGCATGACAAGAGACTGTGTCAGATTTTTGCAAAATCAGATTTCTGGCAGACTTTGGCAAAAACCCAGAAAACCTTGCAAACCTTGCCTGCCTGGGGTCCCATACGGTGTGTGTGGTATGTCACCCATCACAAGCCATGCTTGCACACAAGCACTTTGCAAAAGTACTCACAGTGGCTGATGCAAACAAATTTTCCCTGCCTTCTTTTCGCCCATTTTAAAATGTTGAGGCAGACTTTGCAAACTTTCCTGCCTTCTTTTCACGCTCTTTTGCAGCCTGGTATCAGACTGTCTGGTTTTTTTACACCAAAATGAGGCTGTAGGTGGGGTGGGGGGGCTTGTGGATTATAAATTGGGGGAGCAGTGGTCTGGTTGCATGTCCGCTTATCGACGAGGGAGGCTTGAAGCAGCTGCAAGACAACAGCGCACCGGAGGGAGAGAAGGTCTCAGCCCAGTGATGAGACTTGCCCCTGGGGGAACAGTAATGCGAATCCATGGTTCGAGAAGACTGCAGGCTGATGAAGTGGGGTGCAGTGAAGTTTCGAGTGCCGCAGCTTTGCGATGTGCGACTTGAAGGAAGGCAGCGCGATGTGCTCTGAAGTCACCTTTATGCATTGGTAAGTGACACCTGTGACCTGCCACTTGTATGATCGCCAGGATTGCTGTGCTATACACTGGGATGGGGCCGGGGGGGAGGGTTATAACAAGCATTCAACCTCTGATAATGGCCCAGACTGCAACTCTTTCCAGTAATGCCTTGACCCCATAAATGCCCCCAAGCAAAGCATCCCCACACTGGCTGAGGAGGGCGCAGACTTCAGCTTGGCCAGTCAACCCACCCAGCCATGCATGTCAATCTGCCTATGAAATAAAACACGCTACACATATAGTAATTAATAGTAATTATCGAGTAAAAATTCAAACAATAGAATAATAGAATTCTAGTTGCAGCCTGGGTTTCCTCCCTCCCTCCCTGTCTGCCTGTTGCCCCAGGGCCAAAATATGACCCTGCTTCTGGTGGGGGAAAATTCCTTCCCTCTATCTCTAGCTGGGACAGGGGTCTGTGACCTGTTGTCACCCGCCATTAACACACACACACACACACTCTGCTTCACCACTTGACTACCAATGACAGTCATTCGACAGACTTATGCACTGAGCCCCTCACTCTGGGCTCACCAGGGCCCCAGGCTAAGTCTGTAGGAACCTCCTCCAGCCCCCTCGCACACACGCACACACCCCACCCCACCAACTTCTGGCTGAGGGAAAATACCCTCCCCCTTTCTGGTTACTGGCCATGTCTCATCAAATGATGGTTGGTACAAAATTCCCTCCCTAGGTCCCTGGTTCCCCCTGGGATGGGCGCCTGCCCCCCACACACAATGTTACTTTTCTTTTCATGTAGGTTTTGTAGATAAGTCACTGGTTACATCAGATACAGGTTTGATACCTGTTGCCCCATTGCAATCTTTATTATTGTGATAATTATTATTCACCACTTGACTACCAACGGCATTGTTTATTAAAACAAAAATGTCTATACTGTTTCAGCTGTGTTGTGATTTCCAGTTGAAATAGATAGCATTGCAATTTATTGTGAAAAAAATAAAGAGAAAATCCTGATTTGTACTTGCTCCTACTTCATTGATTGATTGGGGAGGGGATGGTGTTTTGATTGATTGATTGATTGATTGATTGGGGAGGGTGTTTTGGAGGTGGGTGATGGGAAAAACAAAAGCCAACCATTACATAGAAGAGTTGCTGTTATTTAAGGTCCCTGCATGCGTGCCTGGCCAAGTATTACCTCTTGCTGCTTCCTGTCTGTTGGGTTCTGGGGTGGACGGGCAGAGGGGGTGGGGGACAATGGGATGTCTATTGCTTACAACAAAGTGCTCCTGGATTTGGGATTGTGGGTAAAGAAAGCTTTGAAGGACCTCCCATGTTTCCAGTAATGCCATGACTCCATAAATCCCATGATTCCATAAATCCCCCATCTTGTATTAAACAATAGGATTGTTAAAAGTGAATGATTCATGTGACCTCCTGTCTTTTGTGAAACTTGCATACACTCAAAGGATCCTGACACTGAGAAGGGCGGGTGTGACCAGCACTTCTCTCAACCGACCGCACCCACCCCGGAAATGTAATCTGAGAAAGAAAGCACAACTGACACAATTTCAAACTTTGGAACTTTTATATAGTTTAGGGAAAAAAGTGTCTTTTTTACTATCAGTATTGAAAATGTTCAATCTCCGATGTCCATAGTGTTCTTCAGGGAAGGGAAGAAAAAAGAAGAACGGGGTTTTTAAAGAACAAACGTCAAAACACTGCTGCCTGCCTGCAGAACCCTTCCCCCCCACCCCCGGTCACTGGGACATTCATTACCTATATACCACTAGGGACGCTTCATAATCTGGGGGGACGGTCTGGCAGGCAGCATCCACCTTGACTAATCGTTGTGGTTCTGGAATGGGAATGTGAATTATAAGAAATAAGAAGGTTGGACATATTGAAGGGTTAAGAGGTAGGTAGGTAGGTACCAAACTCCAGAAAGTTGGAAAATTGCCATTCTGCTGATGCTGCTGTGCTGGGCAGTGCAGAACACTGTGGTAGTGGGTGAAACAGGAGTGGGAAGTGGATTCTGGAATGGGAATGGGAATGATGAGAAATAGGAAGGTTTGAAATACTGAAGGGTTAAGGAAGGGCTACCTACCACACTGTGTGAAGTTGCAAAGTTACCATTCTGGAGATGCCGCTGTGTTCGCACCACTGATCAGCAGCGAGTGCTTAGGGATCATTAAAGCACATGTTTCTTAAATGGACCGTGAAATATGAACGCAGACAACTCAGTGTCCTAAAATCAAAGTCTAACTTTATTAATACAACAAGTATTATCTCAGCAATTTCTATATTCAGAGAGAGAAAAAACACTTAGTACAATGATCTCACCCAATCCCAGATGTTACTTTGCCTTACAGAAAAGATGGCCACTCAGTTCCTGAAGCAAAGGGTGTGTCATTTGCTGGGATGATCCAGACAGGTGTTGAAAGCTGGATTCAGGATGTAAATGATAATGATAACTATGATGACACTTAACTTTCTTGCTTTCCCCTTTTATGCTTTTCTTTAACTTGACTCCTTTGATGACTCCTTGCTTTTGCATTGGTCTTTCTGCAGTCGGCATATTGTTCATATTTTATCCTTTCAGCATATTCCTTTGTTCAACGTCCCCATTATGAGCACACCTTTTAATTTGGCCTTTTTCTAGTGTCTTACTTTAAGCGTTGTCCATTGGTCTCCTTAGCACCTTTCATTAACATATCCAACCATTTCATCCCTCTGATTCAACTGATTAGTGCCAAGTTCAGTTAATTTGAGCAAGTAACAAAACTATTGCTGTGTTGTGTTAGAAATACTTCTCACAGTGATAGAAAAAGGAAAGAAACACCATGCAAGCAAACTCAAGGCCATAAGCTGCTTGCAAGAAACAAGGCCAGCTGATATTGCAAACACCAGCAAAATGAAAAGTTCAGATAACATTGAGGCTATACAGAACTTTAGGCTGAATATAAAGAAAACTTTAACCAATGCTATAATTTACCACTCTATAAACAGGTGCAACTTTAAAGCATAAAATATGACAAGCTACTCTAACAGTTCCCCCCTTGATGGCTAGGTTTACCTATGCCATCACTGCATGGAAGTCAGTCTGGTAAT